GGTTTAAGAGGAAGCCCAGCGATGTCCATTATCATCATCAACATGCTAATAAGATTGAACGTAACATATACGATTTCCATATTCAAAGGGGAGTGAAGGGTAACGAATGCAAATGAGATAATGAATGCAAATGCAATAATAAATATGTTTGTTTGAAAGTAGAAAATAACCTTTCCGAATCGTGATTGCACTTGTTGACCTATGATCTGCCCAACGGCGGTTGAACCCGTGAACGACACTAAATTAATGCGTTTATCTTTCACCAATGATTGGNGCCTATATCAGTGTCACCAGTTACTAACGAGCACAGACCTGCGGGGATCTTATTTGATTTTAATACCTGAAAAATATCCATTTGTGTTACTGGTAATGATGTGCGCATAGATAATGAGCGCATAGGAATGTTTCGTTTGAGAAGACCTTCTCGATGAGTTTAATGATAGCAATGGAAGTGAGCGGTGTGCTCGGAGCAGGTTTCCACAGTACAGCGTTTCCACAAGCTAACGCAATCGCATTGTTCCATCCGTAGACAGCGCACGGAAAATTGAATGCTGATATAATGCCGATCACACCTGGAATTGTTGAGTGTATTGCGTTGATTAGTGAACTGATCGGTAGTTGCTAGAGTGGAGACATCTCAATTGAAGTATTTATTTATTTATTTATTTAATCAGCAATTCAACTCATTACAAGTTTATGCCTCTCTGTTATCACCAATATCACCAGTATCACATTCTTCCTTCCTTGGCATTCTCAATTGAAGTATGCTGCTTGTAAATGAATGAATTTCTTGAAGAATCAATTGGCGATCATCGAATCGCTAAATTGTCAATAATTCAGAGGTTATCGCTGAATGAAAGACTAAGATGACGGTGAGTGATTTTCAAATCAGTGGCTGCTGTTCAGTGGAAAAGAGAATGCAATGGAGCTGAGAAAGTAGTGAAATTCTGTGATATCCGAAAATGTTTACCATAAATACATGCTTGCAATGGACAGTTGTAGAATATTTGGCTGTGAACTGCATGAAGAATAAATAAAGAAGAAGGTAACAAACCAAGTGGATTCCACTGTTCAATAAGCATATGACCATCTCGTTCTGATGGCAACACCTGACCAGCCATTGTTCGTGACAGTCCTACCGCATAATCACAAATATCGATGTACTCTTGCACCTCACCTATTCCTTCGGGTAGGATTTTACCCATTTCCAATGATACCTATTAATTTTGCTATTATCATTATTATGATCATTATGTATCATACTGTGATTAATGATTAAAATGAAATGTTCATTGCATCATACTTACCTAACAAACATTTCACGTGAATGCTAATGATTAAACAACTTGTTCACATTGCTGATATTAAGAGCAATACAGGAGATATCACTCACTCAAATGAGTCAATTCGAACGGTGCAGATGAATTACTTTAAGGCAACAACACTGATCAATAGCAACAAAACAGTATTCACCAGTTTTCCTAAGTTATCGAGTTGTTTCCTGAGTTCGTCACCGATCTGCCTCACGATTTCGCCACGTTTCGGTGCAGGCATATCAGCCCAACACTGGTACGCAGTCACGGCACTTTTCACAGCACGTTCATAATCCTCTGTCGTACCTTCAATTTGCATCCAACTCAATTCCTTCCGTCACATATCTAAGCATTCTAGCACACCACAGCCTCTATCCACACCTCAATTAACTCTCATCTTTCGTGGCTGAACTCCTTTAATGCACCATTTTTTCAGCACATAAAACCTCTCAAGCCAAGTCTGGCAAACAACATGCATGCTTGCTTTGTCGGGTTACTGTATGATTATTGACCTACCAGAAACAGATACAACAGATTGTTCTGACAAAGTCGAATACAACATGACCTAATTAAGCAACGTTATCACCTTAAGCAACGGAATATTTAGGAGTTGTTGAAGTTTGNCAAGTCTGGCAAACAACATGCATGCTTGCTTTGTCGGGTTACTGTATGATTATTGACCTTCCAGAAACAGATACAACAGATTGTTCTGACAAAGTCGAATACAACATGATCTACTTGAGCAAAGTTATCACCTTAAGCAACGTTATGGAATATTCAAGAATTGTTGAAGTTTGGATTATTCGCATATAAATTCAGAGATGCGATTGATTCGTAAACGTTTGATGAAATCTACCAACCAGTTTGGACGTTAGCAATAGGTTGGTTGTTTGCGGGGCATACCGACTCGATCACCTTACCAGACGCTCGCCATTCACCGTTGAAAACACCGGCATTGTTCTCGTTCAGACCGAGTTCTTTCAGAAATGAATATCTCGGATTCGTGATCAGCATCGATGCGGAATGCGATGACATTAGTCTTTTAACTGCTAACAATTCAACACTTCTCAACGATGACCAAGCCAACACTCTTTGCATATCACAATCACCTCAACTGTATCACCTCAAGATTACACTTCATTTNTCATTATTCACTCTTGAATGTCTTCAAATGTTTTTGAGCAATATCACGGCATCGGTTACGATTATATCAATACTGGCAATGCACTTCAATCTAACTATTATCACTATGGCTATCACTATTACTGTTAATTATATTACAACGGATGATCACAATCGTATTATCACTAATTGCTCGCACCATATGCTCTTAATAAGTTGAATGACTCGATCCAATCACAAATGATAAAGTAATTGACTATAGTTAAGTTTTAACTGGATTACGGTTCATAAAAATTCTTTCAAATGAATAACATCACGATTTCTTAGTGATCCTATAGGTGATCGATTCGACTGTTCTGATTAAGATCGATTCTCAATAACAACTCGTATCAATTGAGGATATTCGTTGTGAGGTGGTGAATAGGCTAGGAAATGACTTGTGGAATGGGAGCAAAACGTAAATGTTTACGTAATTTCGAGCACCGTCAGCATTTGATCACCTGAGAGGTGAGGAGTGATAAGGGTCAGCAAATTGTATGAATTCTTATCATGCTATCATATCATCATCACATCAGTGTTGAGGTTGATAACGATACAGTAGTCTGCCGTATGGAAAAGTGACTAGTTTGAATTAGATTGAACAACATGAAGCATTATATCTGAAATTGTTCGAGTATTCGCTGAAATTTGTAAATTGCTCAAAATTTTCCATTTGAATCGATGATTTCCATCGGATATTTGGTTGTTTTTTGATTTATTTAATTGAAAGTAAGAAAATATGAAAGAAGTCATTGAATTAATGGTAAGAATTTGTGGAAGAAATTCATTAATTGTGAATAAAAATTGGTAATTTTGAGAATTTTCAGAATATTCGATAATGAAAAGAACTAATAATGAGATTGTTTGGTGGATTCAGTGAAGATGATGGATATGAAGAAGATTTATAAGGCACACAAAGAAGGAGCACCACTGATGATGTATTTGTATAGAAATGCGCTGTTGATGGGATGCAACCAACGTGAACGCAAGCAAGCCTACCGCTGCGTTGTATTTTATTATTATTCTTGTTATTATCGTTGTGCGTCAAAACGAAGAAGATTTGTTGAAGAGAATCAATCCGAAAGGAAAACGGCGGCGCTCTGATTTGCTGCGGAATTTTGATTTGCCTCTATTCATTCTGCATATTATCACCAACATCAACTGTTGATAATTCCATTAGCGAACGTATTCCAACTATAATATGATGATATGAATTCTCAAAATAATCAAGTAGCGGCTGCTGTTCGCGTACCCGTATACGATCCGGAATGTGGTCTTCTTGATGTTAGTTTCATGAATTTGTTGATTCAGTTATTGATTTGTTAATTATTCACTGCACTCTCTTGTGTTTCATGAACACTTCAGTGAGCTTGGCTCTCAATGTAGATATAGCTAGTTGGATTTCATTACGATCGATCATCCGTTCCTGTTCGCATGAATTTATTGTTGATAATTTCAGAAACATGGGGAAATCAGCTGTTGAGATGAATGTTTTGGCTGCAATGGAAAATGGTTTTAGAAGTGAATTGTTTTAGTTTCATGCTTCAAGTTAATAGTCATTCACGTGTTCAGTTATAATAGATGAGGAGGGAGAAAGAAGTTGAAAAGAAAGAACGCAAACGCAGTGTGCAGAACGTGTTTTATTGTCAATCGATACTCCACAAATAATGCCCTCTGACAATACTACGTATATGACCCAATTGGAGTCTATCATACAGTTAGCAAGCAAATCAACATCGAAATTCATCCATCTATCCGTAATCCCAAAGGTCATATGAAGATATTCGAAAATGAACTCACAATCAATAAAACATTCGTTCAGTTGATGTGCATATGAACAAAACAACTCACGAATGGCTTGTTAGACTTAGAATTTGGCTTGGGCATTTGTTGAAGTTTGAGATCGAGTCTGGGCTTGAACAAGTGCACAAACTTGATTCTGAGCATGAGCACAAGTCTTACAATTAGCCATAACGAATGAAAAAACAATTTCTGAGGTTAAATTCGATAAACAG